CACAGTCCCCGCAGCCCCGGGCCTCCGCCGCACCGGCAGTCCCCGCAGCCCCGGGCCTCCGCCGCACCGGCAGCGCCCCATCTTCTTCCCCTAAGAGCCCGGGTCCCCTGCGCGGGAACGCTCCCGAGGCCCGAGTCCGGAGTCCGTGCCCGCCCTGCCCCACAGGTCTTCGTGCGGTGGCCTCGAGAGCCTAGAAGATGTTTCACGGGATCCCAGCCACGCCGGGAATGGGCGGTGAGTGTCCCGCGCGGGGGGCGGAAGGCCTAGCCATTCCCCTCCACCTCCCTTCACGTAGCCTCGGGCGGCCTCGGGACAGAAGAGATTACGGTGGAATGTGAAGATCCTTGGTATCTCGGGAGCACTACCCAGAGATTGTGAATTTATGTGCGCCGTACTTGGAGGCCACAAGCTAGGTGTGGTCCCTTGGGTGCTGGCCTGGCAGGCAGCCCCGCAGCCCCCTTGGAGCCGGTGAGGCACATCACAGCTCTTCTCATGTAACTGAGCCGGGGGTGGGACTAGCACCTCAGGGTCCTCATAAGCTCACCTGCCAGCTCCTGCTTGTTTTGTTCCAGCCCCTGGGAATAAGCCGGAGCTGTATGAGGTGAGTATAGTGGAGGCCTGCCTGGCTAGCACTGGCCTACAGCAGACATCTGTGGCTCTCATCCTGCTGTCCTTGAGTGGCTAAATGGTGGTGCTAGCTGACAGGCCCACTCTTTCTAACAGGAAGTGAAGTTGTACAAGAATGCCAGGGAGCGGGAGAAGTAAGTCATGTGCTGCTCCCAGCACGTTTGCTGTGCCCCCCCCCACCCCCTGCCACATTTGTGTTGGGAGCCTCCGCCAGGGATGGGGACGAGGTGCCAATGTTTTTGCTGTAGCCGTGATCTGGAGCAGGAATTGGCCACCTCAGACACCAGAGACCTGGGCTTCCAGCCTTAGGGTTGTGGCCTGATGGACTGGTTATCTCAGGTATGACAACATGGCGGAGCTGTTTGCGGTGGTGAAGACCATGCAGGCACTGGAGAAGGCATACATCAAGGACTGTGTCACCCCCAACGAGTGAGTGAGCCCACTGGCCTGTAGCCTCTGGCAGGCACCTGCTCTTTAGAGTCTGGGGAATCAGCAGGAACAGAGTCTGAGCCCAGGCTGCAGGCCGCCTAGTGCTCTGGGGTGGGAAGTCCTACAGAAGTTGAGAAGTAATCCAGTGTTAGAGGTGAGATGCAAATAGATGTAGTCCTGGCTCTGTCTGGAGGCCCAGAGGGCCTGACTGATAGAAGATCAACCTCAAAAAGTGAGCTAGAGCATTGGGACATTCAGTCTGACTTGGTGCTGGCCCTGTGGCTCTCTAGCTCTTATTCAGAGTTGTTATTTATTGTGGGATTTGGGGGGTCGCTTTGTTTGTTTTTGTCAGTCATTGGGGCTTAAATTCAGGTCCTGGATGCTGTCCCTGAGCTCTTCTTGCTCAAGGCTAGAGCTCTACCATTTTGAGCCTCAGGACCACTTCCAGGTTTCTGGTGGTTTATTGGAGGTAAGAGTCTCAAGGACTTTCCTGCCAGGGCTGGCTTTGAACCCTGATTCTCTGATCTCAGCCTACATGGCCTGTCTGTCCCCAATCCCTCAGAGCCCATGAGAACTATTCCAAGTCTGGAATGGCTAAAGGAGCACAGGAGGAGGGGCGCTCAGCTTGTCTGGACCCATAGCAGCAGATCCCTGTCTCCCTAGGTACACGGCAGCCTGCTCCCGACTCCTGGTCCAGTACAAAGCTGCCTTTCGACAAGTGCAGGGCTCAGAAATTAACTCCATTGATGAATTCTGCCGCAAGTTCCGAGTGAGTGAGCAGGTCCCTCCATCCTGCAGGAAAAATGGAGTTGGATGTCAGCACGCCCACCAAGGGCTGGCCTTCAAGGCTCCGTACCCTTGTCTGCTCCCCTCAGCTGGACTGCCCGCTGGCCATGGAGCGGATCAAGGAGGACCGGCCCATTACCATCAAGGATGACAAGGGCAATCTCAACCGCTGCATCGCTGATGTGGTCTCGGTGCGCACGCCCCACACAGGAGGAGGACCACGTGTGGGCCTGGGGGGAGGAGCGCCAAGGAGCACCCGGTGGGGACCCCCCCATAGCCGCATCCAGGGGGCTCTCCAAGGCCTGCCTGGCTTCCTGCAAACACCATGAGGGGACATGGACAGGACCTCCGAACACCCCCAGCCCCAAGTCCCCCCAGGCAGGCCACAGCCAGGAGTCCGGGCTTGGGAACTGGTGTGGAGGGAGGAAGGAGCAGGGATGGTGGGGGTGATGGGTTCAGCCCTGGACCGAGCTCTGCAGGGACCTAGAGTTCCAGGGGTTTCCCCACCCAAGTGGTAGGGGAGCCCTCATGTCCGCACTTCTGTAGCTCTTCATCACAATCATGGATAAGCTGCGTCTGGAGATCCGCGCCATGGACGAGGTACAGGACCGGACTGGGGGAGGGGCCGGGTGGGGGGGCA